GTGAACCAACAACCTCTGGTTAGCAGTAACATGCCCTAGTCACCGTGCTACCAAAAACATATGTACAGAAATTGTTAAATTGGAAGCCAATTTGCTGTGTAAACTTCCACCAAAAACTTAGTAAAATATTATAACAAATAAATAAAGAAGCTAGTCACAGAAGACCACACATAGCATGATTTCCTTTATATAAAATGTCCCAAACAGGCCAATGCATAGGAAAAGAGCAGACTGGTGGTTGCCAGGATGTGAAGGGATTGCAGCGAGGGAAGGGACCGCTCACATCTATCTACAAGGTAATCTGTGAAGGCAGCCCTAGGAAACTAACACAAGGGAGAAATACATGTAAGAGCAATGAATGCTCATTTATAGTGACTGTTTTACAAGAACTGAAAGAACATTTACCTTCAAGTACATTTTCTCCCATTTCATTATCAGAATCACTGTCTTCATTATTCCTCAAAGCAGCCAGTTTTCTTTCATACGTCTTTATCTACAATGAAAAAAGGGTATTTTCCAGCTCTGCCCCATTTGCAACAGAAGCAGCATCTACATGAAATAATTCCTTTGTCCCACACCCACCTTGGACAATAGCTCACTGCTCCACTGCCTGACCCCTTTGGGAACACTGACTATACACTCCACGGCTTTATTCAATGTCTGCTGAATGTCTTCTAGGGCAGGGGTCATGGTGATGTTGGGAATGGCCAGCGTGATTCTTGCCTGGAAAATGGGCAGACTGTTCGGCTTCATCTTGGACACACTATTTCTGTCTGGGTTAACACAAAACAGAGAAAATTTAGTATTTTAAACCTAAAATTATCACATTTTACCCTGAATCATGAAAGTGCCTAGAACAAGTAGCTGGTACATAATAGAAGCTCCAAAAACACTTGTTGAATGAATAATTCACTCAATAAATGAAAACTAATGAATGACCCAGTTGTGTCAAGACCCAGAGCAGTTCCACGGACCCCAAGCCACTTTCTGCAGAATGCTCCTTGGAAGCAAGGATGGTAAGACTCTGTCTCATATACCTTGGACGTGCTATCAGGAGGAACCAGCCCCTGGAAAACACCATGCTTGGTGAAGAGAGGACCAACAAAAAAAAGGAAGAGCCTCAATGAAATGGACCCAGTGGTAGCAACAATGGGCCCAAACATGACCGTGACTGTGAAGATGGCACAGGACCAGGCAGTGTGGCACAGGGCACTGTAATTTCTCTATTAGTTAGAGCTGGCTCAATGGTATCTAACAACAGCATGATTTCTTGGCACACCCTTCATAAAGGCAACCCACTGTGTAAGATCAGAACTATGCAAACTGTTACCTAAAACCTTTAAAGATGATACTGTCCAAATAACAGGATGTCAACAAAGTAATTAAATGTAGAGTAAGTAACAAAAAATGAAAAACAAAATCATCTCAATAAGTCAAAATTTGAGCAAATAACCAATTTGAAATTTCAAATCAAATATATGTCTTTTCTACTAGAGAGTGTACAATCCAACCTCAGAGCAATTAAAAGTAGAAGGGAAATTAAAGTATCATCCATCCTTCATGTGTAAGGGGCTTTCAAAGTGCACTACACATAAAAGTACTAACAGAGAGAGAGACCAAGTATTATCTTACATAAGCTCGTGGACAATACCTATAACACAGAAAGTTGGGAGATACCTGTAATTTAATACTCTGCACATGGCATCTCATACTCAACATTTGGTAAGTTCTTAAAGTACCCCTATGTCAAAGAAAGAGACTATTCGCCATTCTGAATTGAATGGAAACATAACAAAACCTACTGCCAATCACAAAGTTCTTTCCAAAAGATTCCACTTCTACTTATCCATTTTTAATGAAATATTAAAGATGCTTTCCCTTAAACACCAACATTTAATAGAATAATAAAGAAAGATTTGATTATTATTTTTTCATTTTCATTTTCATTGTTTTTCTATTATTTTTTATTTAAAATTTAATGTCATAATGTCTCTCATCTTGATAGATTTTTGTTGGATCATCTGAGAAATACAGTGTCTGCCTGTGAATGGTTCTGAGAAAGAGATTGATGGTATTAAGAATGACGAAATCACATGGAAACCACTACACTGACACAAACAGCAAAATATTTTCTACTTTGGAGAGTGTGGTATCCATAAGATCTTACTTGTTTCATAAAACTGGCTAATAACCTAACAATTTAACAATAAAATTATCTTTTCTATATATTTTTAAAGGTATGCATTTTTTTTCTTCATTAATTATAAGAAATCTTATTACGAACAGTTTCAAAGTGACATTAACTTTCATGTCATTAACAAAAGCTAAGTGGCCTTAGGCAAATTAGTGATATGATCTACATCACATGATTGTCGGGATGATCAAAGGTCGTAACGTATATACTTATGAGGAACCACTCAATAAATGGTTGTTCTTGTTATGTGCTGTTGAGTTGGCCCCGACTCATAGCGACCCCGCCTTTAGTTGCCAAGGCAGTATCACTACGGAAGCAGATTGCCCAACCTTCCTTCCAAGGAGCGGCTGGTGGATTTGAACCACCAGCCTTCTGGTTAGCAGTCAAGTGCCTTAGGCACTTAGCTACCAGAGCTCCTCAATAATTGGTAGGACTTCTTAATTATTTAAAATTACAGGAATAGGCGTGCACACAAGCAGCCCTTGTGGTGCAAAGGTTAGGCGCTCGGTAACCAACCTGCAGCTCAACAGGAGACAGATCTGGTGATCTGCTCCCGTAAAGATGACAGCCTCTGGGGCAAGTCTACTCTGTCACATGGGGTCACTTTGAGTGGAAAATCAACTTGATGGCACCCACCACCACCACCACCGCAGCACACACACTCACACACACACACACACACACCAGCATCTCTGCCTGGGTAGACAGGGCACAACGGTGTGGCACTATTACCCCGGAAGTGAACAGTGTTGGAGGCATGAATGCGCTTGCGAATGGCCTCGAGTGCATTCCTGGTAACTTTCAGCAGAGCATCTGCATTTTGGTGGTTAAAATGAGAAAGCAGCTCGCAGGCTTCTTCCTCTGACACCTCGGTCTCCTTCTTCTTCCTCTTGATCACGGTCAAGGGCAGGCGGCCATCTCCGGTTTCACCAGCATTAAACGGAGATGGCAGGATGTCGGACTTCCTTTCTTCTTTTTTCTCTGTTATAAGGCATGTGAGAGAAAGAAAGAATGACCAGAGAGAGGCACACACAAGACAGAACCACACACTGCAATTAAATATATGGCTGCAATTAAATAAACCATTGCAATGAAAGGGAAGAACATGAAGGTAAATTACCTGTGATTTAAAATCACTTAAATGCCAGGCTTTTTAGAAATGAGGCCACCAAAGGGTAGAAGAGGAAATTGGGGCACGAGATGAACTGTCGATCTCTTCTCCTCAATGTAAGGAAACACCAAGGAGACAGAGAAAAGCAACAGTGGCAGGTTCTGGTGCCCCCTATCTTCAAACTATGGCCACGGAGCCTTGAGGAAAAACATCCCCTCTCTGCATCTCGGTGTCCTCATCTGTCCTGTAAAATGTTTTCTCGAGTCGAAAGGCTTTCCAAGGGGACTTCCAATCCATGACACATCCTACTCTACTGGTAAAGTGAAATAAAGTCCATTCCCATATCAAAATACCAGGAGAACAAACAAGAGCCAATGCACAGTAAATATGTATAAAGTTTAACAAAAAATAATAGGAATTAATGACATGTAGCTCATTTCAATATAATCAGAACCATAATTTCAGATTTATATATATCATCATAAAATTGAAAATGTTTATAGAACTGTGAAATTAACAGCTATGTTGAAAATTGAATTTTAGTTTCCACCAAATGTGCTAGACAAGTAAGTTCTTTCCATGATTGTATGTCTTACCTGAACTTTCACTTTTTGAATCAATCTTATTCTCACTGGACACTTTTTCACTTTCTTCTTCAGATGGAACTTCCACATCGAGCAACATATTTATTAGTTCATTGACAGCTTCTTCTACTAATGAGCTTTTAAAATGCAGTATCTGAGCACCATTTACACAAAGGTCCTATCAGGAAAAAAAAAAAAAAATAGTGTCATATTTGTTTATCTAGCTCTTGCGAGCACATCAGTAGCAGAAGCAGTAACCTGGGTCCAGCCTCCAGGTGAGGTTACAGCCTCCAGGTGAGGTTACAGCCTCCAGGTGAGGTTACAGCCTCCAACGATGCTTGGCCACACTGTTCACCCTATTATGCACTGAACTGTGTCCTCTCAAAACATGTATTGAATTCCCAGCCCTTGTACCTGTGGACATGATCCTATTTGGAAACATGGTTTCTCTTTTGCTAGATTAATGAGGTCATACCACAGCAGGGTCGATCCTCATCACTTCTGATTCATAAAAAGACCAGAACAGACACAGAGACACACAAGGGGGAAGGCAGTTTCCACGTACGGTTCATCTACAAACCAAAGATGCCAAGGAACCAATGGACGTGGCTGCAAGGAAGGAGTGAACATATCCAAGCCCCTGATCTGGACTTAAAGCCTCCAGAACTGTAAGAAAATAAATTTCTGTCCTTTAAAGCTACTCACTTGTGGTATTTGTGTTACAGCATCACTAGGGAACTAAGAAACTAACCCAGGGCAGTTCTGTAGAGGAATATGTTAAATAGAAGGGGACCGCATGAAGCAACATGGACGCACCACTATTGTACAGGCTTCCCCAGCAGCAGAGACAACAACCCAGAAGCCATCAGTAGCCTCTCTTTCCATGAAGCTTTCTTCATCTCACACAAATCTGTACTGTTGTTGTTGTTATCTGCCATGGAGTCGGACCCAACTCATAGCGATCCCTCCTTGGGTTTCCGAGGCGGTATCACTACGGAAGTAGATTGCCCAACCTTCCTTCCGAGGAGTGGCTGGTGGGTTTGAACCGCCAGCCTTCTGGTTAGTAGTCAAGTGCCTTGTTGTTGTTGTTAAGTGCTGTCGAGTCGTTTCCGACTCATAGCGACCCCATGCACAGCAGAACAAAACGCTGCCCGATCCCGCGCCAGCCCCACAATCCCTGCTATACTTGAGCCCATCATCACAGCCACTGTGTCAATCCATCTCGTTGAAGGCCTCCCCCTCTTTCGTTGACCCTCCACCCTACCAAGCATGACATCCTTCTCCAGGGAATGGTCCCTTCTTACAACATGACCAAAATAGGTGAGACAAAGTCTGGCCATTCTTGCTTCCAAGGAGCATTCTGGCTGCACTTCCTCCAGGACAGATCTGGTAGTTCTTTTAGCAGTCCGTGGTACTTTCAGCATTCTCCGCCAGCACCACAACTCAAAAGCATCAACTCTTCTTCGGTCTTCCTTATTCATTGCCCAGCTCTCACATGCACATGAGGCGATTGGAAATATCATGGCTTGTGTCAGGCACACCTTAGTCCTCAAGGAGATATCCTTGCTCCTCAGCACTTGATACAGTTCCTTTGCAGTTGACTTTCCCAATGCTACACCTAATGTCCTGACTGCTGGTTCCGTTGGCTCAAGTGCCTTAGGCACTACATTATCAGAGCTCCCCCTATCATTATCTCCTAATTACTTTCAGAGATATTCTGTTCCCCTTCAAGAAGGCTTCCACTGCCCCTACCAGGAGAAGCTGAACACAGATGACACAAGTGATCCACCTTCTTACACACACACTGGCCATGCCAGTGCTGACACTGGGAAGGCATGATCTTCAAATGCAACTGGCTTCCTAAGGCTACCTAGGAATCATTCTGCATGGCCATCATCATTTTCCTCTACCTGGCCCCTAAAGAGCTGTGTCGTCAAACCTTGGTGTCCTCAAATCTTGACACCATCCTCCTCCATCACACTCAGTAAATGAGCTTTCTTTCTTTCTATAACACAAAGGAAATCAAGCTTATCAGTTTTACTAAAGGTCATGTCATGAAGACTCATCCAACTCCTTGAACCTTGCCTTCACTTGGAAGTCATATATGATTCCATTACTACCTTTACTTCCTTCTGTTTCAGTAATTGCAATATTTCTCCTCCTATTCAAAGACAATCCCATGGCTTAAGTTCTGAAACACAGTCTATCCTAATTCCCCATTAACATGCTGTATAAACTACTCCTTCCTCCTCTCGCTCTCTACTTGATTTTCCCCCTCAGTGTATGGACATACTCAGTGAACTTCACCTCTACATCTTCCTCCAGCTACCATAACAGCCCACTTCTATCTCAGGGTCTTTGCACTTGCTGTTCTCTCTGCCTGCAGTGCTATTCCCCAAAGATACCCACCCAGCTTGCTACCTCACTTCCTTCTTGTCAAATATAATTACAGAAGTCATCAGCAACCATTGACAAAATAGCAACTTCTTGTCACATATGCTTTTTCTGCATTATCCTCTTACTTTTTCTCATTGGACTTATTACCATCTGAGGATTATTTGTTCATTGGGGTTTGGTTTTATTTTTCTGTATCCTCCACTTGAAAGTGGCATCTGTGATGGCAGAATTTTGTCTGTTTATTCACTGCAGTCATCCCAGCAATGGTTTGTTGTAGGATCTCCCCAAAAAATTACTGAAGAAATAAATGAATTATGGAAAGTAAATCATATCCAGAAATGTTCATTTATATTAGTAGCCAAAAAGTAAATTATAATTAGTTCCCATAATTTTACCTATTACATTAAAACTTTTTAAGTATAATAAAACAGTGTTGGTTGGAAAGTAGTGAAATTGGTACTACTGTGATGCTCATGGCATTTTAACTTGGTATCACCCTTTCGAAAAGCAATTTGGCTACAAGTATCAATAGTTAGTCAATAAAGACAAACTCTTTGATGCAATAATCTTACTTTGGGAGGATAATAATCCTAAAGTGGAAAAATATATATATATATATATGATATATAAATATGTTCATTGTAGCTCTTTTCAAAATAGGAAAACTTTGAAAGCCATTTAAATGGCCAGCAATAAGGAACTGAGAAGCTTAACAAAACATTATGCAAGTAGCATTAAAATGGTGATTATAAAAGCCATGTGGCAACATGAAAAATATTTTATGAAGAAACATAAACAGGGATTTAAAAAAAAAAAAAACTACCCAAAATCTATTCATGTACAACAGCTATCATAGCTTTATTAAAAGGCATGTGATTTGCAATGACTCAAAATTCCAATAAAGGTGGAGTAACTGATAAAAATGTTATTTTGTTCATCTCTAAAATATTCTGAAATTTACTTTTAAACTTACAATAAATACATTTTATAAAGCAGCCATCAAAATAAGGGTACTATCTAAAACTATGGAACCAGATGATTTCTCAAGGAGGGTTGGGGGACAGGGGGATGGAGAGAGTCAAAAAAAAAAAAATGAACAGAAGGATAAGGGGGAATTTCAGGTCTAGCCACAGTTAGTAAATGCAGAGGGAGGGAATTGGAAATTTGTAAAATCTCTAAATTAAATTTCGACTATAAAAATAGAACACAAACAGAAGATTACCACATGTGTAGAGAAGGGTTACCTCGCAGCCCTAAGAGGGCTTGCAAGGTTGCCGTTGGCTGGCCTCTGGGAACCTGGATCTCAGGACTGCTCCCTAATGGTCCTTACTTAGACCATTCTCTAACTGATGAGGATGACAGACTGTGCTTAGATGGCTAGCAAACAGTGTGACTTATGCTGAACACACTTATGCTTTGTTTCTGGGAGTCTAAACGTTTGGCATGTGCCAGCCAGAGGATGCCTATGTGACCACACTCAATGAAAACTTTGGTCTCTGTGTCTCTAGTGGGCTTCCCTTGGCAGAAACGTGGCGCACATGTTGCTGCATTTTCACTGCTGGAGGAAGAGTGTGCTCTGTGTCCCATCGTGACAAGGGAGAACGTGAAGAAGACTGCCCAGGGATTTCTCGAGACTCCACCACTTTCTTTCACTTACGAGCCAGCTGTAACTCCTGGGTCACATCTCAGCCCTGAGTCTAACTTCAGGTGGAGTTCAAGTCCTTCTAGTAAATCTCCAAACCTGGCATGGTTTCAGAGAACCCCGACCAAAAAACCAGTTGCTGTCCAGTTGGATACTGCTCATGGTGACTTCATGTGGGTCACAGTAGCACTGTGCTCCACAGGGTTTTCTCACAAGGTGATTTTTCAGAAGTGAATCAATAGGCCTTTCTTCTGAGATACCTCAGGGTGACTTGAGCCAGCAGCTTGTCAGTTAGCAGCTGAGCACATTAACCGTTTATACCACCCAAGGTCTGGGGACTCAGATTAAAAAAAAAAAAAAACCTGCCATTGAGTTGAATCAGACTCATAGCAACCCCTCCTTGGGTTTCTGAGGTGGTATCACTACCAAAGTAGATTGTGCAACCTTCCCTCCAAGGAGTGGCTGGTGGGTTTGAACCACCACCTTTCTGGTTAGCAGTCAAATGCCTTAGGCATGACGTTTCTGGACTCAGATACACTGTATTAAAATCATCACTGAGGAGTTCTTATAATCAGGAAGAACTTCATGGAACCCTGCTTCCAGGATCTTATTCCAGGTTCAGGAAAGAAAGCATCACATATGCAAATACTTTTGGGAAATAATGGGTTCAAGAAAGCTCAGTGCACTATTTTTCAGGAGACCTAACTTAACTATGCTAGCATGTACTGTATCTGTAACAGGGGGAGGAATACAGCATGTAGTCTTTAGGCTAGCACTTTACACTCAGACCCCAACTTTCCCAGCATGCCTAACAATAGCCCAAAACTGTATGCCATGGAACACCAGTTTGGGAAACAATGCCCTACAGAAATGTTTAAATGAGAAATTTTGTCCAGATGTTGTTTAAAAGAAATGTTTCATTAAATTAACCTTAGCTTACTAGAAGCTCATGTGCAAAGTAGCTCTATTTGTAAAAAAAAAAATAGAAATGTTGTGTTCCATGACAATTTCCTTCCTACTAATCTGGAAAGAGGTGAATTATTGCTTATATCTGAGTGACCATTAAAGACATTACTCTTCATTTTCAAAGTACTGTCAGAAGTTCAGCTTTTGGATCTTAGCAATCACAGAGCAATCACAGTTAGAGAAAAGGTCTAATTTAAGCTCCATAAAATGGCCTCTCTTTAGAGAAATTAATCACAAAAATACTTTAAAATAAAAAATGTCAGTCTTCTAATTATTAACTAGGAGGTCAGGTGGCACAGTGGGTAAGGCATGTGGCTACTAACCAGAGGGTCGGTGGTTCAAACCCACCAGCTGCTCCACAGGAGGAAGATGAGGCAATCTACTTGCATAAAATTTACAGCCTTGGAAACCCAACAGGCGTCACTATGAATTGGAATCAACTTGATGGCAGTGGGTTTTGTTTTTTTGGTTTTAATCATTAACTACCTGTGATATGCAGATGGCATAACCTTGCTTTCTGAAAGGGAAGAAACCTGAAGCACTTACTGATGAAGATCAAACACTACAGCCTTCAGTATAGATCACACCTCAACAGAAAGAACACAAAAATCCTCACAATTAAAGAACACAAAGGTCCTCACAATTAGACCAATAAACAACACAATGATGGGTGGAAAAAAAAACTGCAGTTGTCAAGGATTTCATTTTACCTGGTTCCACAATCAATGCTCACAGAAGCAGCAGTCAAGATATCGTACTGCACTAGGCAAATCTGCTGCAGAAGTCCTCTTTAAAGTGTATAAAGGCTAAGACGTCACTTTAAAGACTAAGGGGCACCTGACCCTATGTTCAGGAGCCTGCTATGTATGTCAAAGCTGAACAAGGAATTTGGAAGAGCCAAGAAGAATGATGCCTTTGAATCATGGTGTTGGTGAAGAATGCTGAATGTACCATGGACTGCCAGAAGAACAAATAAATGTGTCTCGAATGAAGTACAGCCAGAATGTTCCTGAGACTTGAGGATGATGAGACCTCCCCTCTTGTACTTTGGTAATGCCATCAGGAGGTACCAGTCCCTGGAGAAGAATATCATGCTGAGGAAAACAGAGGGTCAGCAAAAAAGAGGAAGAACCTCATTAACATGGATTGACAGAGAGGCTGCAACAATGGGCTGAAGCCCAGCAAAAACGGTAAGGAGGATGGAGGGCCAGTCAGCGTTTCTTCCTGTTGTACACAGGGTCACTGTGAGTGGGAACCAATTCAACAGCACCTAACAACAGCAGCAAATGACTTTCGTAGGAGTCCTTGGGTGGTACAAATTTTTAAGTGCTTGACTATAAGCCAGCAGGTTGGCGGTTCAAATTCTACTCAGAGGTGCTTCAGATGATAGCCTTGAAAATCCTATGGAGCAGTTCTATTCTGCATACATTGAGTCACCATGAGGTGCAATGAACTTTATGGCTACTAACGATAACAACAACGACCTTTGTCATTTGGAGAAACTCATCACAGGTAAGTGGGTCCTCCTGGGGGAGCTGGCAGAGAGGCGTCCTACTCATTTCTTCTAGAATGGCGTCGATACGGAATTCAATCAAGTCATTGACCCTGTCCAGCAGCAACTCCAGTTCCTCTTTGGAAAAAAATAAAAGTAAAAAGAGAGAGAGAGATTAGAGCATTTTGTTTTAAATAAAAATGAATGCACAATTAAACAATTGTAGGTAAATGAGGATTAAAGTTACTCAGTTTATTATTAGTTTACACGATGTCCACTAGGCATGTCACTGTTCATTCTTCCTTTTCTCACATTATTCTTTAACCAGTGTCCTACCAGCGGCCCCAATCCAAGAAGCTGCCAGAAGAAGCCAGGGCCAACAGCCCTGATCCAGGTAAGGGGAGGGAGGGAGAGCCCTCACCCAGGCAGTGAGCAGGAAGCAGCCAGGGCCAAGGGCCGGAACAGGTAGGGGAAGGCCAGGAAGTGGGCGGAGAGGTTTAGAACAACTAAGGGGGATGAATTTGTCTGTCAATTTGTCCTATTGTGGTGGCTTGCATGTTGCTGTGAGGTTGGAGGCTGTACCACCAGTGCTTCAAATGCCAGCAGGGTTGTCCATGGTGGACAGGTTTCAAAGGTGCTTCCAGACTGAGACAAGACTCAGGAGAAGGAAGAGGCCATCCACTTCTCAAAGAGTTGGCCAAGGAAAACCTTATGAATAGCAGAGAAACACTGATACATTACTGGAGAACTTTATGAATAGCCCTGAAACACTGTCCAATACAATGTCAGAAGATGAGTCCCTCGGGTTGAAAGGCACTCAAAATATGGCTGGGAAAGAGCTGCCTCATCAGAGTACAACTGACCTTAATCATGTGGATAAAGTAAAGTTTTCAGGACCTCTATTTGCTGACATGGCATGAGTCAAACTGAGGAGCAACAGCTGCAAACATCTATTAATAATCAGAACATGGAATGTACAAGATATGAATCTAGGAAAATTGGAGGCATTTGTGAGCTAAAATGGGCTGGTTCTGGCTATTTTGAATCAGACAACCATATGATCTACTATGCTGGGAATGACAGATTGAGGAGGAATGGAATGGCATTCATCATCACAAAGAGTGTTTCAAGATCTGTCCTGAAGTACAATGCTGTCAGTGATAGAATAATATGCCTAAAGCATTTGAGTGCTAACCAGAAGCCTGCTGGTTCAAACTCATCAGCCACTCCTCAGAAGGAAGATAGGGCAATCTAGTTCTGCAGTGATACCACCTCAGAAACCGAAGGAGGGGGTCACTATGAGTCAGGTACACCTCGATAGCAGTAAACAACAACAAGAAAAGCCAGTTAATACTAACTACTATTATTCAAGTTATGCACCAACCACAAAAGCCAAAGGTGAGAAAATTAAAAACTTTTACCAACTTCTGCAGTCTAAAATTGACTGACCATGCAATCAAGATGTGCTGATTATCACTGGTGACTGGAATGCAAAAGTTGGAAACAAAGAAGAATCACCGGTAGGTGGAAAATTTGGTCTTGGTGATAGAAACGACACTAGAGATCTCATGATAGAATTTTGCAAGACAAACAAATTTTTCATTGCAAATTCTTTGACAACAACACAAATGGCAGCTATACTTGTGGACTGCACCAGATGCTCTGCAGAGCAATCAGATTAACTGCATCTGTGACAAGAGGTGACGGAGAAGCTGAGTATCTTCAGCCAAGACAAGGCCAGGAGCTGATTATGGAACAGAACATCAAATGTTCATATGCAAGTTCAACCTGAAATTGAAGACAATTAAAACAGTCCACAAGAGACAAAATATAACCTTGAATATAACCCTCCTGATTTTAGAGATCATCTAAAGAACAGATTTGATGCATTGAACACCCATGACTGAAAACCAGATGAATTGTGGGATGACATAAAGAATATCATCCATGAAGAAAGCAAAAGGTCATTAAAAAGAGAGGGAAGGAAGAAAATACCAAAATGGATGTCCGAAAAGACTCTGAAACTTCCTCTTGAATGGAGAGTAGCTAAAGCAAATCGGAGAATTGACAGGATAAAAGAGCTGAAGATTTAAAAGAGCAGCTCAAGAAGACAAAGTCAATTATTATAATGAATTGTGCAAAGACCTGGAGTTATAGAGCCAAAAGATAAGAACACATTCGGCATTTCTCAAGCTGAAAGAGCTGAAGATAAAATTTAAGCCTCAAGCTGCAGTATTGAAAGATTCTATAGGCAAAATATTGAATGACACAGGAAACATCAAAAGAAGATGGAAGGAATTCACAGAATCCCTGTACCA